AGCTCCCCCCTCCCCCATGGTTCATAATGCATCCGGGTGGGGGGGGGGGGGGCGGACCGCAAACCCGCTTGTCCTTCAAAAATATTCCACTAATAAACCACAATTTGCAATGAACCGCACATTAAGGTTGAAACAAAGATAAAACTGACACAGAGTCCGTTCAGACGGCTCTTTAGATCCGCCACAGGCACGATTCCCTGGCGGGTTAAAAATGCACGGCCAGAGACACAGACACCCGGGAGACGCCCCTGCTCCGCGGACACCCCGTTTTGCCGCGCCTCCTATCCAGACTGAAAAGACAGCACTTTGGATCTAGAGTTTCCCGGACCCGACGGGACAACAGTGAGCTTTCCCCCGTCTGATCGTCCCACCAGCGCGCAGTCCTCCCGTCGGGGCGGCCTGACGTCAGACCATCCCGAGTGGGCGTGATTTTTAAAAAACCACCACCCAATATGCGCTTAAACGCATTTAAAAACGAGGCTGTGGAACCCTGATCTAGCGCCATGAACACTTTAATGTTTAAGAATGACCCCTGGTTTTGAGGGCGATCACTTAATGCAGTGGGAGCCGGAGGGGAGATGGGTCTTTCAGCATGCAAAATAGTCCCTCCAGTGAGCATGATCTCAACAGCAAGGGGGACGGCCGGGACTCGTTTGGGCTACGCGTCCCTCACGCGGTGCTTTGAACATTTGGTTCTGCGCATGCGCGGATCTACAAGGATGCACAGTCATGCCCATGCGCAAAAAGGTTTTTTTAAAAACCATTGCACACACCTCCTTCAGTGGACGCCAGCTAGACAATCCACAGCAGAAGCAGCGCACAGTAAGGTGATTCCCCCAGGGGTGTCTGGTCGTGCAAGGATGGATTTAAAAAACAGGGATCAAATTTGAGCCGGCATTATGGCAGGATTGGCTGCCCGTCTGAATGCACTCATAGACAACATTTGGATTTGTCTTGCTGTAAAGGTACACTTACAAGCTTGAATAATATGCACAAAGCAAGACTTATTCAAAAGAAATTAAGCACTGCAAGGAGTCATCAGTTTTACAACATGAAGCCTGCAAGACTACCGTGAGACGGGAGCCTCCATTCCTTGTGAATAAAACCGTTTTTATGAATGTCCATTCCCCCATAGCTATTAATCCAATACACGTTTAGGCAAAGTAGTATTTTATTAAAGCTATGATAGAGCAGGAACAAGTTCACTGTCCAGAATGCCTGAGCCAGAGAGAGCAAGGAATAATGTAAGACATTCAAACCGGGTAATAACCAATAATCTCCATTCCCGCCGAGCGGGCAGACTTCAGGTTACGCGCTCAAAATCCTGAGAAGCAACGTTCCCTAAAATCTAAACAATTACAGCTTCACACGGTGCAGTTCATTATACATTTGGCAAAGCAGCTCCCCCACACACCTGTTAACCTTGCAGATAAGCGTTGCCTAGCGTTTACAGACAGGAATGCATGAGACGAGATCATACACAGGGAAGACAGGGCATGCGCAGATGCCAGGGGAGAAAGGGGGGGGGGGGAACCAACTGCCTCCCAGTCTCCTATGGCAGCTAGCTGACATGAAGCGGAGTACAGGGGAAAGATTATCCACATTTTTCTCAAGACATGGAAATGTAAAAACAAAGCAGAGCCTACAGTTGCAAGAGGGAATCACCAGTGGAGTTTCAAAGGGGTCTCTCCAGTCTTACTTCCCTGCTGAGGTCATTGATCCCCCCCTCCCCCCCCCCCTTGCCCAGGTTTTCTTCCCGAGGCCATCTATTCCTTTGAGTATTGTGTTTAGACTCATAGTAGGTAAATGTGCTTCCAGGAACACCATGATAATGCTTTAAATAGAGAAAAATGTTAATTAGTCCAGCACCCAGTATTACCTGGCAAGCAAAAACCACCACAAAACTCACTGGAGGGAAGAAGCCTCCCCCCTCCCCCCCTCCTAGCCCCATGCATATTGACTGTGGGGCTGTGTCATGACCCCCCCGCGGGGGGTGGGGTCGCCACCTCCCTCTGCCGCCACCCTGGACTTCGGGTCCCCGTTGGGAAGGCCCAGGGCACCCATCCTCAAAAATGCCCACAGCCGAGAACTATATAGGCGTGATGACCAATGTTCCCTCTAAGCTGTGGAGTCTTGTGAGCAAAAATTCTCCTTTGTGAGCTACTGGCATGAAAGTTGTGAGCAAGAGATTTGGCTACTGCATCAATAAGTGTGCTCTGGAGCCATCCTTCCTAAGTAAAGGCAAAAAATGTGTGAGCCGGAGGCTAAAAAACTGTGAGCTAGCTCACACTAACTCAGCTTAGAGGGAACACTGGTGATGACCAGGCGGAGAAGACTGAAGCAAAATGGCTTATTAACACAGTACTGGGGCAAGGAGAACAACACAGGGTGCTTTAAAAGATCTATATAACAGTGTCTAAAGGCAAAACAAACGAGTCTAATGCGACTGCCTTTTTCAGTTAACTGCTCACCCCTCTGAGGCCCACGGCCCTCCTGCCCGCACTCCCTCTGTCCCATGCGAGGCGAGGGATCTTCCCCCTCAGACCAGACTATTCCCCCCCCCCCGGGCCCGTAGCCAGGACTTTCAAATTCAGGGGGCACCCTGCACCCCCCCCAAGGGAGTGCCACAAGTAAAATTAAAAATGGGAAGTCAGGGGGCCTTGGCAATAAGTCGGGGGCCAGGCCCCGAGATGCCCCACCGTAGCTACAGGCCTGTCCCCCTCAGTTTCAGCTCTGCGAGAGGGAAGAACGCAGAAGAGCGGAAGAACAGAGTTTTCCAGTCCTCAAAGCGTACATCCCAATCCCTCTCGCAATTCCTGAACACCGACTGGCTACAACCATCGCTAAGCATTGTGGGGATTGTAGGCTGTCTGCTTTCCACGGCCACACAGATCTCTCCTGGGCTCAGGCCACACCAGGCCCTGCCTCCCAGTCCTACACAGATCATGACAGGTTAAAACCTTGCAAGGACACCTGTTTCCTGCATGTTTTACCTGTACAATTCACCATTTAGCTTAGCAATGCTAATTTTGCAGGAGCTGCTGTACTTACTGCAGGAAAACCATCTCTCAGTGACTGTCCTTTGACCATTCAACTGGTCACCACT